AGTTGGAGCTAAAATCTAAGGAAGATGTTTTGCCAATTGCCATAAATAAACAATAGTTTATCTATTGCATGAAGGTTCAGGAAGAGGATATCAGGCAATTTTTGAGTTTTATAAAACAGATTTTTATGTGACCAAATCCATTTTCCGTCCTGAGCAGAAGGAGCGCACCGAGGCGCTGGTCATCAAGCCTCTCTCCCAGCTGCTCGTCATGTTCGCCGGGCCACACAAACTCATCCAGAAACGCTTCGACAAGCTGCTGGACTACGACAACTGCAAGGAGCGCGCAGACCGGCTGAAGGACCGCCGCGTGCGCGACGAGCTGCAGGTGGCCCGCAACAACTACGAGGCCCTGAACGCGCAGCTCCTGGACGAGCTGCGCAAGTTCAACGCCGTGGCAGAGGAGCTGTTCAAAGACTGCGTGGGCGCCTTCGCGCAGGCGCAGAGGGACTTCATGAAGCTGACGCTGGGAGAGCTGAGGCCGCTGTTGCAGGTCAGGCACTGGTTCTACTGGTTCGGCTGATCAGTGTTACCAAGTATTTTTGTTCATTTTTTTAGTGCAGATATCTTAGTACACTTGAAATAAGACAAAACTAACTTACAAGTAACTTTTCAGCTTGTTTTAAGTCAGTAATTCCTTAATATTGATGAAAAAGTTTTAGTTATGGGAAAATTTCTTGTTAGAAAGATGAACACTTAAATAGTGTGTGTAGGGGGGGGCAGGGAGGACCAGGGGGGGCCAGGGGCCATTTGTGGCCCTTGAAATGATTTTGTTCAGCTCCTGACCTCAAGTCAAGAATGGTAAACATTTGGCCAACAAAACAGAAAACAATTGGTGAGCAAAAATTGTGATTGTTTTTAGTTTTTCTTCTTCTTCTTATAAAGCAACAGTTCAAATCAATTTTTATGTTCTGGAAGTTTAATGGACTTTAGTTTTCTTAAAGTTTTTTTAAGATCTTGATTCTTTTGTGCTTCATTTGTTATAAAACTTGGATCTGAGCACGCCAAGCAGACGTGCTCAGATTCCTGGATCTGAATAAAACTTTTTGTTGTCCCACCAGTTTTCTAATAAATTCGGCGCAGAGGGAAACCTGATCACGCAGTTTCAGGAGGAGTACCACCAGGTCCTCAAACTGCTGCAGAGCTTCAGCTTCTGCCCGGAGAACCTGCCGCAGCCGACCGGAACCATGAAGAGGCCATTTGAGAAGAAAACGCTGGAGAAGCAAAGCAGCAAGAAACAATCTCAAGGACTTGTGAGTTTACCCGACTTGTCCTGTTCTTAATGAATAACGCATCAGCACTGTGAGCGCTAACTTTAAACGTCTTCCAGCCCAACCACGCCGCCCAGACGGACGAGCATCGCTCGGCTCTCCTGGCTGGCTACGCTCCTGAGAAACTCTACCAGGCGGAAAGGAACTTCAACGCCGCTCAGGATCTGGACATCTCCATTCAGGAGGGAGACCTGGTCGGTGTGATAAAGCAGCAGGACCCGATGGGCAGCAACAACCGCTGGATGATTGACAACGGAGGTAGATTATTATATAAGCAGCTCAAAATGAGGGGAACCTTGATGCAAATTTCACATTTTGAATGTTTTTATATTTCCGTTAGGATCTCAATTGCTTCTAAAAAAACAACCAGTTTGTTTTGTTGTTGTTCTTTTTTCAGCAATAATTTAATGTTTTAAAAACCTCTTGAAATTTGCAATTATTTAAGAATAATTTTGTGCAACTGTTTTTCTTTTTGTCTTGCAGTCTCCCAGGGTTTCGTCTACAGCTCCTTCCTCAAGCCGTACAACCCGCGCCGGAGCCACTCCGACGTTTCCATCGAGAGCCAGTCGTCCAACGAGTCCGGCTACGGCGGCTCCTCCCCCGTTTTCTCCCGCCAGAACAGCAACAGCACTTTAACCTTCAACCAGGACGCCGCCACCGTCAGCTACTCGGCGGCGCCGCAGAGCCACCCGTCGCCGCAGCCGTCGCTGGACTCCGCCTCGTCCCGCCGCGGCCAGGCGACCGCCAACCCCGACGCCGTCGCCCAGAACTCCTCGTCCCGAAGTCACGCGAGCCGCAGAGACTACGCCGACCAATCGCACAGCAGGAGCGGCGGCGCTCACAGAGACTCGTACGAGTCGCGGTACGAGAGCAGGAACAGAGACACGTCGGATTACTCGGAGACGGACTCGTCGTCCTCTCAGATGAACAGCGGCAGGTCCAAACGACACGCAGACAAGAGCCACAGCTCACAGCAGTGGAGGGACGGGGACGGAACCAGGAAGACCGCTTACAGTCTGGACGAGTACGCTGAGCCGGAACCAGAACCAGAAAATGAACTGGACGGTCATCAGGTACTGGAATCTATCTGGATTTCTCTCATCTCTTCTTCAGTTGTTTGGTAAAAATTTCAACATATTTTAACATTAAAAATACAATAAAATAAAAATTCTAAATGATAAATTTGAATTTATTTATGTTTTCAAATCCTTCAGTTCAGGCAGCTTTACATGTCCGAACATTTTCACAGATTCCTCTTGTCTTTGGTTAAAAATAAAAAATATACGGAAATTATAAGTGACAGAAAATATTTTTAAAAAGAGGCTTTTATTTCAATCATCCCATCTTTGACCTCAAACATGAATATTAAGACTAAACTATTAGATTTTTTTGTCTAATTACAAAAATGTATTCATAATATTAGTAGGATAACAATTGTTTCACCAAAAGAAATAGTTTGTTTTTTGTGTTGGAATTCTCATACATTTACTATTTTATTCCCCAAATATAAATTTATTCTGTTTTTTTCTTGTTATTCTTGTATTTCTGCCTGTTCTTGTTAAAATGACTTTATTCATATATAAAGAAAACTGAGCCTAGAGTTGACCTGAACTCAAAGTCCAAATAAGCAGAAACTGTAAAAGAACGCTTGTGAAACAAGATGGCCGCCCTGTGTGCGCTGACATCACTCTGAACTCCAGAAACCCAAAAAGTTCATTTGATTAAGTTAAATTTTTCTAATTGCTTGTTAATCGATTTGTCGCTCAGCCATCATCTGGAACGGCTTGGACTGGATGGAGAAGTTCTGCGTCTGTTTGCAAATCTCACCAGATTCTTTAAATTTTAACTTTGACTAGGCCATTACAACACATGAAAGGTCTCCAACTCTTTCCCTTTACAGTCAGTGTTCTGCAACTTTCAGATTTGTCATTCATCTTTGATGTTTTCAGAACAAATTAGATAAAATCTCATAAATGCTACGTTAGTCCAATTTCATAAAATCTTCATTAAAATATGTTGAAATTTATGTTTGTAATGTGACAAAAACTGTTTAAAAAATGCCCATGGAAGGAATTACTCCTCAGAAATTTCTAACATTAATAAATCTGCTGATAGTTGATGTAACAGAACATTAAAATGACCTTTTGTTTTGTTTTTCAGATTTACTACGCGCTGTACTCCTTCAACGCCCGTTGCGCTAACGAGATGAGCATCTCCGCTAACGAGCGGCTGCGCATCCTGGAGTTCCAGGACCTGAACGGAAACGGCGAATGGTGGCTGGGTGAAGCCGACGGAGGAAGACGAGGATACGTGCCTTCCAACTACATCCGCAAGTCCGAGTACACATGAGCGAACGCGCTCTTCCCTCGCCAAGGACACGACGACCTTGAGAACTTCCTGAGCGAAAACTGAACAAAACGAGCTTTTTGCTGTAACTTATTCTGAAACTGTTTTCATGGGGTTTGAAGTGGAGGAATATTGCTGCAAACACACACTCCTGGCATCTTTATTCGCATGTATTTATATACTTTTTTCTTTGTTTTTTTTTTAAAAGATGTTTTTTACGATCTAGAAGGTGCACTTTGCGCTGCAAAACCACAAAATTTCATCAAGTAATTTTGGTTTAGATTCTAGTTTAAATATCTCAGCACATATGAAATAAGAGAAACATTAAGCTTGGTTTTAAATTAAGGAATTCCTTAATATTAATGAGAATGTATTTGTTCCATTGGCAGAGAAATAAAATTATATGTTTTATGAGTAAAATAATCTGCCAATGGAACGAGCAAGGAATTATTTACTTAAAACAAGCCTTTATATCTTCCTAAAAAGTTCTGTTTTTCTTATTTCAAGATATATGCAGTAGAAACTAACCAAGAATACTTGGTAAGATTTTGTTTTTTTTGCCATGACCTTCAGTTTCCAGATAAAAACCTCTGAATTTCCACATTCTCTGATGCCGAGGACAGTCAGTGTTAACATTAAACATCGGCGGACTGAAATGGGAATATTGGGTTTTTTTGGCGCCTCTGTCACAGTGCAGAACCATAAGACGATGACCTTTTTTTTGACCTCTTGTTTGGGGTTTCTGCAGAACAATAAACAGCTTGGAGTGTTGTGTGGTGTTTAAAAAAACCCTGTAAAACCGAAGAGTTTGCAAAGTGGTTTTGAACTCAGCTGCATCTTCCTGTAAGGAATGTCGTGGTCTGATTAACGTGTATATTTTGGGCCAAATAAAGCTGAATATAGAGACTTATGGTTTTGTGCCCAAAGTAAAATGTTTTAGTAAAAAACTTCTCAGATGAACAAGTTTGTGTCCTGACTTAAACTAACATTGTTGGGTAGATTTGGGGAAAATTAATTTTTATTTACAGAACACAAACATCACAAATAACCAGACCGGGTTATTATTCAGGGATTTTTATTAAATTTTATCTAATAAAATGAGATTCTGTGTTCATACACATTTTGGAAAATTCTTACATTTGATTTCAGTGCACTGAAAAATCGCATTTCCTTTCGTTGTCCCCTTCCACTCTTCTTCAACTTCTCTTTTCTTCCAACTTGCCTAAAATTTTCTTGTCCTTGATTTTTTTTTTCTTCTTTCCATCTCCTTTTCCCATCTATATCACTCCCTGTGGCGGTGCAGGTATGTGAGGGCAGGAATGCATTTGCTGGATTGCTGAATCGTCGGTTGTTTAAATTGAGTTAAAAAAGAAAAAAGTTACTCCGTTTGCAATGAAAAACCTTTATTGGGACATCAATAAAAGCAAGCGTTCACTCTCAGCCCAGCTTTGAGTTACAGAAAACATCGTTACAAACTCACAAAGCTGAACCTGCCAGACAAAAATGTGACGTTTATTTCAGGTTTGTTCTTCCCTTACATGATCAAACTTAAGCTTCTGTCAGTGTTTTTGTGCAACATCTGTTGCTCACTAAACATACAATATTATTTCTTTTCCATCTTAACTAAAGCAAAAACTTTGACTTTAAATCCCTTTTGTTTAACACGTACTTTAATCCCGTAGCAAACATAAATCCAGCCCTGCTTCAACGTACTTAATCTCCTTTTTAAAAAATAATCCCACGTTATTAATCTTACAAACACTTAGAATGAAATCTATGCATTTTCTAGAGCTTTACTGGAGACGTTTGTTTTCACCGTGCTCTGGATGGCAGCTGCTGAGGAAGACGAGGATGATTTCTTCTCCATGGATCTGAATGAAGTCGTGACAGTGGAAGACTTTTTCTGGACCGTCTTCTTCCTCGTGACGTGAAGGACCTCCGTGGCGTCCATGTTGACGCCTTTCTGGATCTCCTCGCTCGTCTCCAGCTGCTCTGCGGTCTCTTGCTGCTGCTGCTCCAGCTGCTGCTGCTGGTGGTGCAGCTGAAAGGTGGAAACGGAGAGAAGGTTAAACGAAGCATTTGTTGTCTTTTGCTTTCATCTTCAGCAGCGTTTCTCACCATCATCATATGCTGGTACTTTGAAATCGCCTCATCAGTGGTAACTCCCTCAGCGAGGCCCAGTTCTGCAGCCCGGCGGGCGAGCTCGGCCTTATGGGAGCCCGGAGGGGTCCAACCTACTCCTCTGATCCAATTCAGGTCAGACTTGTAGTTCACCTGGTGAAAAACAAAATGAAAAGCCACGATCTTTAATAGACTCCAACCAATGTCTGTCTACGATGGAAAGTATTTACACCCCTACAATCTTTGTTTCATTTGCTAAAATCAGAAAAGTTCAAATTGTTTCTCATGAATTGTTTCTCATCTCAGCTGGACAGAAAAAAATTGAAATGTAGAATTTTTTAGAAATTCACTGGAAAAGAAAAACTGGACCATCAGACGGTCAATTTGAAGAAAGTACCTCGGAAGTCGTGAAAATAATCCAGTATGTTTAGGAAAGTACTCGGGCAGTTTCAGGAACGTACCTGGTGATTCCCAGGTAAGTTTCGGAAAAGTATTCTGTCGGCTTTAGGAAAGTATCTAATAATCTCCAAGAAAGTATTTGGTAAGTTTTATGAAAGTACCAATTAATCTCCAGGTTGGTTGTAGATATATTTCTGAAAAGTCCCTCTTGAGTTTCAGGTAAGTTTCAAGAAAATTCTGTAAGTTTCTGGAAAGTACTCAGGCAGTTTCAGGATTTAAATACCCAATAAATCTTAGGAAGGTACCCGGTAAGTTTCAGAAAAACCAACTCTTTGTTATGTCTTTGTTATGAAACTTTCAGATCCGGTTTTAAACTCTGAGTGGTTTCAAACCCTGGCGTCTCACATCGCTCTGCAGCTTGTAGGCCTGCTTGGCGTGCTTGACGGTGAGCTGCTCGGGGTCGCAGGTGTAGTCGTGGAGTTTGCGGCGGTAGGCGACGTCGCTGGCCTGGGCCTGACTCTTCTTGGCCAGCAGGAACTCGGGCTGGTCCGCTCGGATGTTGCAGCGGGCGCGCTCCTCCTTGGACTGGCGCTGATACTCCAGGTTGCTCTGAAGCTTGCTGGCAGCCAGGGAGTGGACCATCTTTGGGTCGTCCTCCACGCAGCGCAGCCCCACCTGCTGGCCCTTCTGCTTCAGGTGGGACTCCTTGTAATGGAACTGTGAACAAAAATGAATTCAATTTAAATTAGACGCCAAGATATTCTACTGAATAGCAAGGAATGCAAAAGTAATATTTGATCAGATGACTCTACATTTTGTAGACACATTGCATAAAAACTGTATGCTGACAATGGCTACCATTGGTTTTAGCTGTTAAGCTAGCAAAATAATTAAATCTTATTTATTACATATTAAAAAATGGATGCAGTGCATTGCTACTAACTGTGGACACTACAACTACTACATAACAAGGTCAGTAAAAATGTTTGAATTAAAAACAATAGAGAAAGCAAGGGAAGTAGGTCAGCTAGGCTAGCTTGACTTTGACAACCTTAACATGTAGATGTGCTGTGGAATTTGGTGTTTCTCGATTCGGTTAAAAAATTTAACAGTAGGCGACCTGCACACCGACTGCAACACACAGTCAGCAGAGCAGGTCTTCACATCAGCTGTTAGCTTAGCTAATAGCAGGCGATCGCTTATTAATAACCGCAAAAACAAACATCCATTACAAAGACATAAAACTGCAGTGTTTTTGTTCTTTGTCCGGAAAAATGTTTGAGTATTAAAACCCGAAACATACAGTGACGTTGTTGTCAGTTGCTATTTGAGTTGTTTTTCTGGGTTATTTTTTTGTTTCACTGTGACACTGTAAGCAGTCAATTATTAATTAATAATATTATTATTAGAATTATTAATTAATATTATTTTACAATAAAAATTGTAAAAATAATTAAAATGTTTATTATTATTAATTTTTGCTGCGCCAAATTAATAATACCAACAACCCCAGGCCCCATTTGGTTCAGGGAGTCGTTCTGCTGTAGTAACGCGACGTTGGATGTTGCGCGCAAGAGCGGAACGTCCGGATGTGAATGATTCCACGCAATGCGTCCACAACTTCCGGACCAAACCTACGTCGCTGGCGATGTCTCTGGAGGCCTTGGCTGTTTGGAAGGGGATGGCATCCAGCCTCAAGTCGTAGCCTGCCGTCTTCACCTGCTCTCCAGAGGCCTTGTAAACTTTCTTCACAGTGAAAAACAGGACAAATCTTAGAATGGGATGGTGAAGGGGAATTATCTGCATGCATTTACTTTACTAAAAGTGTCTCACATCGCTGATCTGCTGGGCATTGATCTTGGCTCTGATGAAGTCGGGGTCGTCTGGGTGTAAGGTGAATTTATGCATCTCGTCGTTCTTTCCAGACTTGTAAAGTCTCTGCAATACACAATGAAAGACACAAGCAGCTAAAGGACCAATTAAATATATATTTAATGCGTGATTTTTCTTCTTTCTACCTCGCTGCACTGCTGGTAGCTGGTCTTGGCGTGGACGATGTCGGGAGAGTCGGCCACTGATGTGAACTTGATTCTGTCCGGCAGCTGGCGGTATTTCTTCTGCAGGAGGAAAAAAAAAATCACATCACAATGTTTTAATTCATTTGATTTATTTTTCTTTCTTCCTACGTCTTATTGATTTGAATAATGTTTTATTTTTAACCTTTTTTCTTTTTATTGTGAAACGTTTTCAGTGCTACTTAAATAAGTGAAATTTAATTGTTTGGTAAATTTCAGATAAAATGATGAAACAAGCAATAATTAGATTTTGCCACAATAGTCAAGCAAATACCCATCAAATATATTGAATGATGTTCAAGTTATTATTAATCCAATGCAATTTTAAACAGGTTTGATTGATAGAAATTCGTCAGTTTTGCAGTTTTCTGGAAGTTTGTTTGCAGGAACTGAAATCTGCTGCTTTTGCTTCTGTTCATTTTTATGAATATACTAAATATTATGTGACTGAAGTAAGAAAATGCAAACAACTAAATGTTTCCTTAGGTATTTAAAATAATTTTACTGGTGAAAATCTTAGTGAAATACAATAAGTGACTTTTATTGCATTATTTAGCTTCGTTGTTTGTTCCGTGTCTACGTTTTGTTTTTAGTTGCTTGTCTTACAGGCTAGAAATAAACTAAAATAAATTATTATTATTACTGGATGATTTTCTAGTATATTTTTTCCCAAAGACTCACATCACTTATGAGTTCTCCTGCCTTCTTAGCCGCCTCTAGCTGCGGCGTTCCCACTCCGTCCCAGGCCACTCCTTTCATAAAACTCAGGTCCGACTTGTATTGTTTCTATGCATGAAACAGTAAAACACACATAAATCAAGTTGCGTGTCAGCGTTACATCATCTTCCTTTGCTTCCCTCGTCTTTATTCCTCACCTCACTCTGCAGGTTGTAAGCCTTCTTGGCCCATTTCACCTTCATGTCATCAGGAAGCACCGTGTATTCGTGCAGCTTTGTCCTGTAGTCCTGATCGCTGGCCAGCGCCTGCGCGTTTTTAGCCGTCACCAGGTGGATCATGTCTGGGGTCAGGTGGTACCGGCCGCTGGCGGACAGGGCGTCCCGGCGGTACTCCTGGTCGCTGGCCAGCCGGCCGGCCTGCAGGCAGTGCAGCAGGTGGGGGTCCTCTGTGACGCTCCTGACTCCGATGCGTTTCCCCTTCTCCAGCAGGTGGTTGTGCTTATATTGGTACTGCAGAGACACGAGTTGGGTTGATTTCCTGGGCCCGCTTCGTTAACGGGTCAGCGCATGCGATTCATCTAAAGAGTTTAATGTGTTTCTGTGACATGATGCAGATGAATCATGTCACCTATTTTGTGCTGTTCTGCGTCCTGACAGTGCAAAGTCGCAAATGTGAGCGGAAAAGATGAGCGACGAGTCAGGTTGTTTTACAGCGACATATTAAAGCCGTTACAAAAAGTAAAAAAAGAAACTGAGTTAATATCTGCCAAAAAACAGTGACGTTTTAAAAATAATTTTTACATTTTTTTTTAGAAAAAACAAGGACATTTCTGAGCTCCAAAAGTCAAAAATTTGTGAGAAAAAAATGTGTTAAGTTCTGAGATTGAAAAGTCAAAAATGTCCTAGAAAAATACTCAGAAATTTTGAGAATAATCTCAGAAACCTTCAAGAAAAAAAACAAGGAAATTCCTGAACTCCAAGTCAAAAAATTTGCAAGAATTTTAAAAAAACCTTTGAGATTAATATGAGACATTTTCTTGAGAAGAACTTGGAAATGTTCTGAGTTTATAAATGCGAACATTTTTGACCTTTGAAACTCAAATTTCCAAATGAATTAGACATTTCTGAGACTTACCTAAACATTTGTGGGTTTTTTCAAGCAGATTTTCTCAATTTTAAACTCAGAACTCCATGTTCTCTCTAGAAAAATTCTGAAACTCATTTAAATTGTTTTTCCAAGCAAATTTCTAACTTCTCAAACTCATAAATTACCTTGTTTATTCTAGAAAATGTATGTGTTTTTTGGTGAACATTTTCTCTTCCTTTCTTTTTCTGTTTATAATAACCATAATTTGTGGTTGTAAATCACATTGCTAGAGTGTGATTAATCTAGTTAGTATTTTTTAATCTAGTTTAATCTGCACTCCTGTTCTGCTTACGTCGCTGGCGATGCCTGTGGAGCTCTTAGCGGCCTGGAAGGGGATGTCCTGCATGGTGAGCTTGTAGCCTTGAGCTCGCAGCGTATGCCAGGACTCTCTGTACTTCACCTACAGCAAACGTAGCACACGGAAAATAAATAAAACATCTTGGACAGTCATTGTATTTTGGCGAGCAGCTTAAATTGTCGTACCTCACTGAAGTTGGAGGCGTTTATCTTTGCTTGTGTGATCTCAGGTCGCTCAGTTGTGATAGTGTAGCTGTGCTGGTCGTTTATGCCCTTTTCTTTGTACAGACGCTGAGAAAAAAAACATATTATGTTGCATATTATAAAATCCACAGAAGACATGGTGAAAGTTCCTGACTCACTTCATTTGTGATTTGTCCGCTGAGTTTAGCGTGGATGATATCTGGGGAGTCGGCAACCGAAGTATGCCTGAATTTGTACGGCTGCTGTCGGTACTTTTTCTGTGGCAGAAAACAGATATTTGATTATCTCTCTGAGCAAATCTTTTAAATTCTTAAATAACATTAAATATTTAAAAATCTGTAGGCTTTCTTGTGGACACGGCTGGGGAAAATGATTTTTCCGGGAAAACATGAAATGTAGTTTTTGAGAGAAAATGTATTTTTGCTAAAATTATTTAGTTCATTAATGGGGATGATTAAAATCTCAAATAATCTTTGAAAAGGAGGCTTCATGGATGCAGAGCAGGAGCAAAGTAGAGGGAGAACCTTGATATTTAATTCTAAAAGAAAAAAAAGGAGATAGAAAATAGATGAAATTTCTTCTTACATCACTGATGAGGTCAGAGGCTCTCTTGGACTCCTCAATCTGCAGAGCTCCAGTAGCGATCCAGGCGGCGCCTCGCAGGTAGTTCAGGTCAGAGCGATACATTCTCTGTGAACAGACACTTTTCTTTCATTTTACTCACACAGGGGAAACTTTTGCATGTCTCAGTCAACATTTAGCTTTCTTACAGGACGACTGACACACATGAAAGAAAACAAATCCAGTCAGAAGTTTACATACCCTTATCAGGATGTTATATTTATCTTTGAGCCATTCTTTCTCCATGGCGAAATGATTGTACAACATTAAAATTAAATTAATGGAACATATTCTTGTTTTTTTGAGTGCATCTGACTCAAAATTTTGGATTGATCTAAAATTTTTGACAATCAATGAAATGGAGTAAGTAATAATAATGGAATGATAATAAATGCAATTAATCTCAGAAATTTTCAAGGACAAAACATGAAAATTTCTGAGTTTGAAAAGTCAAACATTTGCTAGAATTTTTTTTTCCAAAAGTTAAAAAACTTTTGACTTTTGAATATTTCCGAATTTTTCTAGAATTTTTTCTAAAATCTCCAAATTTTATAGTTTTATTTTGTAGAAGTTATTTTTCAAACTCTGAAATTCCCAAGTTTTTTCTTCAAAATTTCTGGTATCAATCTCAAAATTAAAGAGTTTTTTCTAGCATTTTTGACTTTCCAAACTCAAAAATTTTCATGTTTTTAAATGTGTGATAGGAATTTCAACATTTCTGATATTTCTTAGAAAATTTCAGCTTTTATTCTTGCAATCTTTGACTTTTCAAACTCATAAATTTCCATATCCTTTTTGAAAATTTCAGAAAAAAAAAAAATTCTTGCAATGTTTTTTTTTCTTTACAAAGTCCAAAGTTTTATCTTGAAAATTTCTGATATTAATGTAAAAATGTCAGTTTTTTTTAGGCATTAGTGCTCCTTTTCCAATCTCGAAGGGCCCTGATACACTGCTGTGGATTAGCGCTAAAGAAACTATGAGCAGCTGAGTTTTCTTAGGTACTTGTTGTTAGTTATCAGTATAATTTTTGCAACAAACCATTTTAAACCATTTCTGATAAAGACGACTGGTCGAATAGCTTCGAGTAAAGATTATTGTTGGTGCTGAAGCCGTGTAGAAAGAGGAGTTTCTGAAGTCCGTCTCACCTCACTCTGCAGTTCGTACGCTCTCTTGGCAGCCTGCACCTTCATGTCGTCGGGCAGCGATGTGTAGTGATGCAGACACAGCCTGTAGTCGTGGTCGCTGACCAGAGACTGGGCCTTTTTAGCATGAGCGACCTCAACCATATCCATGGGCAGGTGGAATTTCGAGAGCTGATTTGCTGACTCCTTCTTATACTTAATCTAAATTCAAAACAGAACTCATAAATGTAATTTCAAATTGCTTATTTCTAGATAAACGTCAGGGCATAAGCACTCACATCACTCTGTAGCTTGCTGGCGTGAACCGAATGCGCAATGTTCAAATCGTCCTGCAGCCCCTTCAGTCCAATCATCTTCCCTTTGGCCTTCTCAAATTCTTCTCTGTATTTTACCTGAAATCAATCAGTTTACGAGTCACACAAATTAATTACATAGTGAAACTTTCTGTGTGTGATTGAACTTAATTGAAGTTAATGTAACATATTCTTGTTTTAGAGTACATCTAACTCAAACTTTTATCTGAAATTATTGAGTATTGATTAAATGAAATAGTCAATACTAATGGAATAATAATAATTGGAGATTAACACCAGAAACGTTCAAGAAAAAAAGCATGGGCATTTCTGAGATTTTTAAGTCTATTTTTTTTCCCCAAAGTTAAAAAAAACTTCTGACTTTTGAAAATTTCCGATTTTTTTTTCTTGAAAATTTCTGATACTAATCTCAAAATTTCAGAAATTTCCATATTTTTCTTAGAAAACTTCCAAGATTGATTTAAAACATTTTTTTCTCGCAAGTTTTTTGACCTTTCAAACTCAGAAATTCTCAAAGAAAAATTTTTACATTTCATTGAACATTGATCTCCAAATTTTAGATTTTTTTTCAAGCTAATTTTCAACTTTTCAAACTCAGAAAATTCAAAGTTTTTTTTCTTGAGAATTTCAACCAATCTCCAAATTTCAGATTTTTTCTAGCAAATTTTCAACTTTTCAAACTCTTTCTTGAACATTTCATATTGGGTGTCACACCAGTGAGTAAGACTGTCTGTGTGGGGTTGAACTGGGACTCACATCACTGAGGATGTCTGCAGACGCTTTGGCGGACTGGAAAGGAATCGCGTCCAGACGCAGCTTGTAGCCGCCGTCGCGTAGCTTCGTCCAGGATTCCTTGTATTGACTCTAAAAGTGTAAATGTATCATGAGAAACCAACTCATGGAAACATGAGAATGAGATCAATAAGCAGACTAAAAAACAAAGCTTTACCTCACTGATGTTTCTGGCATTGATTCTTGCTTGCACCAACTCTGGCAGCTCTTCACTCACTGTGTAATTGTGTTTTATGTTTTCTCCCTTCTCTCTGTACAATCTCTGAATAAAAAAAATAAATATTACGACCATTACTGCAGGAAACCAGATTCCAGTCTGCATGAAAGTTGAAACTACAAAATAAATTCTTTGTGTGGTTATTTGTAGTGAGAGAGGAAAATATTAAATTTACCTAAACAAGCACTTGACACCGTCTATGAAATATGTTTTACTAAATTTATTTAAAACAATATTTTGTTTTTTATATAAATAAAATAATTGAAAAATAGGAACCAAAAATTCTGATGACAAATTTAAGATAAAAAAATATTATTTTTGCATGATTTTTCCCCTTTGCTGGTTCCAAATTTCAAACTTCATATATGTATTTAAGTATATGTATTATTATAATTATATGCTTTTTAATAATTTATATAAATTATTTGCATTTATATTTTTTTATTTAAAACAGGAAACCAAAATTATGCTAAAAAAATTTAAAATTAAAAAATTATTTGCATGTTTTTTTCCCCCATCTTCTGCACATCGCCCCCTGGTGGTCCCCACTTTGAAATACACTACTAGATGTATGTCTTTAGTTTAACTACATATTCAGTCTTTAGTTAAATATTTGTCTGGTTAACTAAATATTCAGCTTGATAATTAAATATTTAGTTGAAATTGTGACATTTGTAAATGAAATATGAACTTTATTTTTCTTTTAATGCAGGGCCAAATAAAGCAAATTCACTGTGTAATTTTACAAATGGCATTTTGTAGAATTCTTCTTTCTATATAGTGTATATAAATATCTGGATTTGACTGTAGAAACCTATGATATTGATATTTGTTGTTGCTAAACTTACATCAATAGCCAGTTTGTTGCTGAGTTTGGCCTGTTTCATCTCTGGAGTGTCTTCAACACTGGTGAACTTCAGAGCGCTCACATCCTGACGGTACTTTTTCTGAAGAAAAACAAAACAAAACAATTTGTACAGATGAGGCAAAGAATGAAACTGGAAGTGCACAAATGTCAAATGACCAGAAGAGGGCGCACTCATCACAATCAGAAAAACTGCAAATATGAAAACGATCACACAGCCGATGTTGCTGTTGTATAAAAATAAATGAAACAGTTTTTTAATTATAATAATAATCTCTTAAATGTTGTTCTGGGAGTCATTTCAGCGTATCATGATGGTAATGAAAACAGGAGTGACCTTTAAATAAATCCCCCTGTAACAAGGTTAAAAATAGAAGTCTTTCGCTCAAGTGTGCTCTATAAAAAAGTTCTTCCTGTACTTATTGGGGTGATTTTATTTAAAAGTCCTAAACGATAATCTAATTAATAATATTTATTCTAGGTTGTTGAGAATAAAATCTGTAGTTTTCCTCAATTTTTAGAGCTTTGGTTGATCAAGTTTGTTATTTTTTTCATTTAATCTCTGATATATAATCTGTTTTGAGATTACCTCACTAGCCAGATCTGAAGCTTTCTTCGCCTGCTGAACGTCCAGAGATTTTGAGGCCTCCCAGCCGACACCTTTCATCCAGTTCAAGTCCGATCTGTACTGTTTCTAAACACAATCGGAACAATCAGGTGAATTAGTGCAGATTTAAATGAAAGGTTAATTGGTTGTTTTCGGGGGAGGCTTACATCGCTCTGTAAATCGTAGGCCTTCTTCGCCCAGGCCACATTGATGTCCGTCGGCAGAGTGGTGTACTCATGGAGGAACGTCCTGTATTTCGTATCCGTGGCCAGGTCTTGAGCCTTCTTCGCATGGCTGATGTTCATCATATCCAGAGACACCCTGTGGGGAAGGTTGATGTTTAAAATCCTGGCATTACTCTGACCTTTTGCCCTTGAGGCCATTCTCATTTAAAAAAAGACTAATTCATTCATGAGCTTCGCCAGGGTGATGACCCACAGCTGCCTGTCTTGGACAATAAATCTTTTGTGGATGTCAAGGCCTGTGGCTGTGTGACCTTAATAAATGGGCCATTCATTAAAGGTTTTCAATGAGGATTAAAAATATTTCTATACATAAGGTCAGAATATATTAGACTTAGAAAACTGCTAGTTTTGAAAATATACAATATTTACAACCTCAATGATAATTTAATTATCAATTCAGAGGATAAATCCATCAGAAAATGTTTTTCTTATATAAAATAAACTATATTTCAAAATATTTTTCTCTTTATAGTGGGACCGAACAATAAATCAATAACAATATATACTGTAACAGACACAAAATCGATATTAATAGATAATACGTTTGATATAATATTCAATAATTTCACTGAACTCTCACTCTTTGGTTACCTAGCAACCCACTCACTCTTTGGTCACCTAGCAACCCACTCACTCTTTGGTCACCTAGCAACCCACTCACTCTTTGGTCACCTAGCAACAACCTGCTGAGTGACTGACACGGCAGCAGTTTATTGTTTTGACTCATAACTGCTTAAAAATAAATAGCAACAGAGTGAAAACCGCAGGTAAAACAGGAAAATTAGTTTGGCTGCATTTCAGATATTTTAAACTAAAAAAATTAATCAATAATTATTGATATCGACTGATAGAAAACGCTTGTATCCTGATATGTATTTCCACCATTCCGATCTGCCCTATCTCAGGGTGTATATTTCTCACAATTCAACAACAGAGATCCTAAATTGATTATTAATAAAAAGCTGCTACAAAGTATTAGTTTATAGATGTAGAAATTGGATTATTTCACTTTTTATGGTTTCTTCTCAACACATTTCTTACGGTATGTTACATAACAAAACTTGGCTTTTTAACTCTTCCGTTTTTACATAAACTGTATTTTAATCTAAATACTCTTGAAGAGTACAAAGATTAAGGCTAAATTATCATTGAGCCACTCAATGATAAATTGCTCCTGATGTTTAAATTGGATATACAGCAAAAGAAATCTGGTTTCATTTGAATAACTGGTAAAAATGTGTCCAAATGTTGGTTAATCCAGAGGATTTACTTGTATTTAGTCTTAGTGTCCTCGTAGTCCTTCTTGTAGTGGAGCTCGCTCTGCAGTTTGGTGGCCAGAGCGGAGTGAGCCATCTGAGAGTCGTCACTGACAGATTTAATCCCGATCACTTTACCTTTGCTTTTCTCGTACTCCTGCTTGTATTTCACCTGAAACAGAACAGAAATGTAACGGCTTTTCCTGTCAAACTCAGATATATTAAAATGCCTTTAATCAGGTGGGAACGAAAAGTATTTTTATAGTTGTTCCAAAAAGGTTTTGCACCAATATTAAAATGTCTCACATCGCTAGCCAGGTCTCGCTTTGCCTTTGCTGTAAGTATCGACAGGGAGTCCAAATTAAGCTCAAAGCCCTTTTCCCTCTGCTTCTCCCACTGGCTCTTGTACACTTTCTATAAAAAGAAAGAAATTGAGCATCAGATGTATTTGCAATCAAACCTCAGAGAAAAACTAGTTACGGTTGTTCCATCTAGTAAAGTTAGTGAACTATTGTTAATTTTTTATATTTTGGAAATGATGTACTTATTTCCTTTTTTGGGCAATAACTCATCACCTCCCAAAAAGTAATGAAAATTCATTTATTTTTTGCTTAAATTATCTTTTGGTATTTTTTTTTGTTGCCAAAAATCAGTTTGACAAAGGTTAAAATTTTAGGAAAGGTGACAATATACTTACAAATAATTACAAAATACTTTAATGTATTGCAAACATTTATTTACAAGCGTTTGTTTTGGAGCTAAAAAGTGTTTTAAGTTAACAGGAAATTTTAAAATCTCACTTGATAATTAGGTGTCATTGGAAGATTATTATCTGAACACCAACGATAAACAAGAATTTCAGCTCACCCCGCTGAGCATGTTGGCGTTTGCTTTTGCTTGTCGGAACAGCGGCTCGTCTTTTGTCATGGTGTACTGGTGAATCATCTGTTCTGTGTTTGCTTTGTACGCCAGCTGTAAAATCACAGAGATGAGTATTACAGAAATAAACTCCATGATGATGGAAGAGTCTGTGTATGAGAGCTTACATCGCTCTGCAGCTCTTGACTCTTCTTGGCGTGTTTGATGGACAGATCATCCGCTACCTGGGTGAACCTCATTTTGTCGGCCTTCTGACGGTATTTGACCTGTGAAAACAGAATATATCGTCGATGAACAGCATCTCCAAAAGGATCTGTATTACTTTAATGTCTAATAAAATTGACTTGCATCACTGAGCAGCTCTCCGGCTTTCTTGGCCTGAGTTATATTGAGGCATCCCTCAGTCTCCCAGCCGACGCCCTTCATCCAGTTCAGGTCAGAACGGTACTGGTTCTACAGGAAAATAATAACCTCATTGAGCAGGTTAGGATAGCAAATTGTTCTTAAATACTGAGATTTTAGTCTGGTCAGTTCTGCTTTAGAGTGAGCCGTTTTAGGGTCTCTGTCCCTTTAAATCCAAATAAGCTGCTCCTGGCCACGCCCCCCTGACCCACTCAACGTTTACACTCGCACGTGAAAATGGCTGCTAACAGATGCGCGATTACTCAACCATACATCTTTGAAAAGAAGAAGAAGAACAACCAGCGACAAACAATAAATTATATTCTACTTTATTCTATACCAGTGCTTCTCAATTATTTTCCGTTACACCCCCCCTAGCAAGAAGAAAACTATTTGCGCCCCCCATTCCCCACCGTGACTATCCATCTCTGCATAACATTTTTTCCTTATTAACATTTTTTTTCGCTGAAAAAACTCTAGCGGCTTATCGGCGTGATTGGGATGTAACGTATTTAAGTGACGCGCTAATTTATTTGGCTTCATGCTGTCCGCTGCGAGCATTTTTAGACACAGCAAACACACCGGTCTTTCCTCTTCTCCAACTGTAGTCACGGTGAAGCCAAGCGCTAAATACGCTTCGTCGTATTTCCTCTTCGTAGCTTTTCGGTTGACTTTCTGTTGTCTCATTATCTTTGTCTCTCTCCGCTTTTCTTTTCATCCCTGTGAAAAACTTTTTCATGTTGGGGGTTGTTGAATAACGGAGGCCATAGACAGAACGCAGTCGGAGCTTTTTGTTGACTTAACACTGCTAACCAAGGCAAACCTGTTGTCTTGTAAGTCGTAAAATGTTGCACTGTCGCAAACGTGACAGAAGTAACAATGAGAGCGCCACTGCCGCCTACTGTGCGCAATTACACTTTATACTAGTTCGGCCAAAAAAAAGCCTGTTCCCCAGGATCACACGCGCCCCCCCAGGTATCGCACCGCGCCCCCCAAAGGGGGCCCGCCCCACTATTTGAGAAGCACTGTTCTATACAATGGCAAAACCAGCTGACCAATCGTGCTGGGGTTGCTAGGTAACAGCACATTTTAAAAAGGCTCATTTTCCTGACACCAATAAATCAATTAATCGCATAATACAATAAAACAAACTCAATCAGTTTTATTTCCATTATTTATTGTTTTTCTATTTTTTTCCCTCTCTTTCTGTCAAACATTAGAAAAGAAAAGTCTTAATTCTGGTGCTTTGGTCTCAATTAGCCTCAGTTTTGTTTACAGTGACTTTTGTTGTTGTTTGTGTTGTCTTGCTGAGTTATTTTGAATATTTAAAGTGTCATCCAATTCCAGTGTTAAATGTTAAATATTGAAAAGGATGTGCTCGCAATAGTATGCCATTACCATTAAATTACTTGAAAATGGTCTCAAAACAACAATATTGTCGCAATAATTGCCCTCCAAGAAAAGTTTTTTTTAAGTGCTTGATCAGCTTTTTAAGAAGCAGTGGATACCCAAACGTGCGTACAAAAATGTGCAAAATGTGAGTTTTGCATAGTAGAGCTCCTTTGAATAAACCTTCAGCTACAAATATTGCTGAATCTCACCTCGCTCTGCAGGGAGTAGGCCTTTTTGGCCTGCTGGACCTTGATGTCGTCGGACATGATGGTGTAGTCGTGAAGTTTGGTTCGATAGTCCAGGTCGCTGGCGAGGGCCTGAGCCTTCTTGGCGTGGCTCAGGTTGATCATGTCCAGAGGAAGGCTGTACTGCGCCTGGCTCTCCTTGGAGCCTTTCTTGTACTCAATCTAAAGAGGCAATAATAATAAAATAATTCGGTATGGAGCTCAATTCATATGTAATTTAATTTGTTTTGTTTTTTTTTCAAGGTGGATTGATGATACAACACACAAATGATTTTTTTTTTTAAACAAGAATTTGAAGCACAGTTTAAACATACAAACTATTATTATGTAAATATAATTTTGATTCTCCTTCTAAACTGTACAAATATACTGAATAATTTGTAATGATCTAAAATTAATTGAACATTTTTTTTGTGAAATATTTCTCATCATAAGAATTTTGATTTATTGTTGTAAACATAAAGGTTTATGATGTTTAAACTCCCCTAAACTGTACATATTGTCTGGACTGTTAATTTGACTATTTTGTCTATTTTCTTTATTAATGAGAGTATCAATAAATATTAATAAAATGGAATTAAATGCAGTTACTACGTGCAGTTTAGTGATACTTCTTTATGTAACTGGTATCCTAAGGAAGCATATTACAAATTAATTCAATAGTAGTATTTGCTTTTATATTTATCAAAATAGTACCACAAAATATTGTCATAAAAGTTTAAGTCCTTATCATCCATTCCTAATTTGAACCACATTCATTAAAACTTTGCACTGCTTACTGTTAAAGTTTTATTTGGTCAACTCTTTGTACATAATTAATCGCCTCAATATCCACACACCTTTACAACTAACCAGTTTCTCCTCTTGAGATTGAAATAAATATTGTGAGACATATCCATTCTGTTAAAACCATAAAATTATTCAAATGTCTGTCAAAAAGCTTTTTTTACACAATGCTTATTCAAATTATTTTTTTTGTTTGGTGACATTGTGCAGCACTTTGACCATCTTTTGGTGTTTTCAAATGTGATCTAGAAATAAATTTGACATTGACATTACCAGCAGACTGTTAACTGAACACATATACCAACTGTATATCTACAATATTATGTTTATTCTGAAGCCTCTGAGGTAACTTCACTCACATTGCTGCTCATCTTGGCCACTTGCAGAGAGTGCAGAGTCTTGGAGTCGCTCATATTCACCCCAACTGCCTTCTCTTTGTTTTTTATGTAGCACTCTTTGTATTTAATCTAAAACAGATGGCAATCTCATTTAATTTGGTTCAGAAGCTATTAAAGTAGATTAATACCACTTTGATGTTTCTTTTTGTTGCTTAGATATCAGCAGTTTCACTCCTTTTCACTTACGTCACTTGCTAGATCTCTGGAAGCTTTGGCAGCTCTCACGCTCAGATCGTCCACACCAGTTTCACAAGCTTTGGACTTGGTCTTTTCCCACTCCTCTTTGTATTTAATCTAAAATTAATTTGGAAAATTAAAGAGAGAAGGAACTCTGCATGCAAACAAGTGTGTTAGTACATGTTTGTGCTTGCAAAACAGTGTAAACTTACATCACTGCACAAAGCTGCGCTGGCTTTGGCGTGCTGGATTTGGGGCAGATCCTGAGATAAAGTGTACTGGTGCTTTGTCTTTTCATAGCCTGCCTTATAATTTAACTGGGGAGGCAAATGAGTTTTGTGTTCACACAAATCCAAAGTGAATTCAGTGCTCATACATGCAACTTGTTAGAAAATTAATAAAAGTGTTCATTATAGGTCCCTGCTTTGTGTTTACTTACGTTGCTGACAAGCTGAGCGTTTTTCTTGGCTAAAATGATCTCAGGTGTGTCGGTCACAGACTTGTACTTGACCTGATCAATATGCTGCTTGTAGTTTTTCTGTAATATTTAAAATATTTATATATCAGAAGCATGAAGTCAACCGAATGTAGCCTTTGTAGTAATATTATAATGAAAAGCTTTCTATAAATTTCATTTCAAAATGTCCAAAATGTCCATCAATTATTTAAATTATAATTCTGCACAGTGAATTGCTATCTGGATTTCATTATTTGGATTTTGCACAAATAAATAAACATAGGAATAGAAGTAGAAATGGTTCAGAGGCTCATTGTGATATGCTGAGAAAAATAAACTCAACAATGAAATTTATACTCCACAATCTCTGTTCACCACCATTTAAAAAATGTCACAAAAATTAAGAATAATAGATTAATAAACAAAACAGGAAAACACTTTAGTCACAAATTGTGGTACAAGTTCAATTTCCCGAGTTGAAAATGACTATTTTAGTGTTTCTTTTTTATTTTCCTGGTTTTAAAATATCACCACAATATCTGCATATTTGTGTAAATCACAGTTTATAATTTCTGGTACATTTACTGACCCAATCGAGAACCACACTTCCAAATAACAGCAAATAACAGCAAAATTTATACTTTTAAACATTGCATTTGTGTTGAAAAAACTAATTAAATAAAACTTGTCTAAATACTAAGCATTGTAAAAACATCAATGTTTTTCAAAAATTTTGATTTTTAATGTTACAGATAATGAAATAAAGAAATAAGTTTGGAAACTCCAACAGTTTTAACATGCAGCTTTTCCAGAAATCAAGACTATGCCAGATTTTTCAAAACTGCGAAGGACTCCTGGGATAAATTGGACTTTGAACTAATTTGAGAGGACTCACGTCTTTCAGTGGGTCCAACTTCCTCTGGCTTTGGTAACCTGGTGTGAGAGTGGCTGGGTAGTTATATTCACCCTGCTCCTGCTCCTGGCCTTGTTTATAAGAAATCTGAAACAAAAAAATAATATTATTGTACATTAGTACGGAAACCAAAGATTTATAAAACGTCAGAGCAAATACACAAATACACCACATTATTTTGTTGCTCTTTTGTTTCAGTGCCATACATGTAAAAGTTTATATAAATGATTGTAATCCTCATACTTTAGAAAGTGCAATACAAATGCAGGCCATTTAGCAACACTTAATCTCGTGCTACATTATGCAGATGCTTTGTCTGCACTGATGAAGGTGAAATGTTCACATTGGCTTTAACAGGAGATAAGTATGATCTACTTACTTTATGATTGATTTAACAAATATTTAATCATTGGAGGACTCTCGTAGGCTCTGCACACAGAATTTAACTTTCAGATTAAGGTTGTAGGATGATGATTCAGTAAGGAAAAACTAAAAAAACGAGGCCTTTTTCCCTAATACTAAGAAAAAATTAACTTTGTCCTTTTTCTGTGGCAGTGTTTCCTTACTTTATATGTAAAACGGGTGAATCACTAACAACACACATATTTAAAGCATTTCACATGATTTGAAGTTTTTGAAAGATATTATTTATTGTTTGTCAAAAACCCACTGAGTGATAGCATATTTAAATGTTTTCAAAGATTATTAAAGAACTGTCATTCTGTAGACGGAATTTCAAGGTGTTTAATAAGTCATGACTTACATCACTTGCCAACGTCCTTGCTTTCATGGCGTGCAAAGTCTTCTTATCAAACCCTGAGTCTTCATAGTGGCCCTTCAGATCACTGGTGTACTTTTCTTTATACTTGTTCTGTTGAGGTTAATATAAATAAAATATAAATGGGGATCATTAAAGCAACGACTTAAGACTATGTATGTGTAACAGGGTTTAATTTGGCCAATGTTATAGATGTGAAGTTTGTCAAAATTTGTTCATTTATTCCTTGAATTCATTTTGTTTCGTCAAGAAGTTGTTTCTCCAGACTTGTTGGTGTTTTAAAGCTCCTCCCCCTTTTTTCTGTTGCCGTCGGTGACTGTGGCATGTATTAGGATCAGCTCTTTGCATTCTTTGCAAATATTATAGCTCAGCATATATTTTAGATCAATTTAATTATATGAGTAACTTTGCTTTCTTTGAACTGTTTTCATTATTAATGTGGTCCATTTTAGCTATGTTTAATTTTAAAAATGTCAACTCCTGCCAACTGCTCATTGTGAGCTATTGCTATAGCTAATGGTGTATATAGAAGGGTGACATATGTACTATTAATAATTAGCTTCCATGAAGAAAATGCATATAAATAAAGATGTGAGTCTTTGTTTATGTCTCTTTTTAGACTTACATCACTGGTGAACTGAGCGATTTTGGCAGAATTTCGAAACTGTGGAGTCTCACAGAAGTTAATGCTGTGGCCTTTGGTGTTCTCCAAGTCTTTCTTGTACTCCACCTGCAGAAAAATAAATATCCATGTTTCAACATTTCTTTTCTTCTTTTTTTAAGTTGATGAGATGCTAAAGAATCTTTTGGTGCTGGATACTAAATATATTTCTGACATTGGGTTTAATCTTAGAGGCAGCAAAAATAACAATGACAGTATTCAGTTCTATGAATGGCTCAGCCTGACAGCATGTTTACTGCGGTCAGGACAGATGCCTCAGGATGAAGCAGAGTATAAAAAGGTTTGATGGGATGTCGTGTGGCCTTGGATGAAAGCTGCAGCCTTATAACAAAGGCATGTCGACAATGCAAGAAATGAGCATTTCATATTTGTTGGAAACTGACACATTAAACCTGATACTTGACTCATGCACACACACAGTTTCTTACATTTGAGGGGGACACTGGGTGTCTTTCCCCTGAGGCAATAGCTACGTTTCCATTGACTAAATAACCGCACAATGTGACATTTCAAAAATAAATTTGGTTAATGGAAACATGGAGGTTGAAAAGAATTAAATAGAATTAAAGTTAAATCACATCTAGTTGATTTATCTAGAAATAATTAAAAATCTAAAACTTATCAGATAATATTTTGTTATCTTAATTAACACAGCTATTTAATACAATCTAAATAACTGCATAATATTCTGGTCTACCAGTTGGTGGCAATAATGCACCATTTTTGTTGTTTGCCAACCGCCAAAAAACATCAAGGAAGAAGAAGAAACGTATACACATGTAATTTTAATTGCGTTTCTCACTTAAAAAAACATCGCAATTGTGAAATTGTGTTTTTTCAACATTAGCGGAATTTTGAAAAAGTTTTGCGAAGATCTGTAATGGCAACACTGCTTAATTGACCCTTGTCGAAAACCAAAACAAGCTTGTTGGACAAAAGCTTTGCAGAATAACTTACCTCACTGACAAGCTTGTTAATTTTCCGCGCATTCTTCAATGTCAGATTGTCCTCAGAGGTCAGACTATGGAAGTGGGACGTGCCCTTCATCTTGTTCAGGTCCTTCTTGTATTTTAGCTGCAGAGGGAATGATGGACGATTCAGGACATGTGTTAGTATAGGAGACACACACGGCATAACTCAGTTTGAAGAGCTATGTCAGTGGGCTAACCCTCCGATTTTGCCCCTCATCTGTTCTGGACTGTAATGACAAGGTGTGATGATGAAAGAGGCCAAAGCTTTCACACTGAGCTCGAATTTGTTTTTGGCGACACAAATGACGTGGGATTGATTTTTTTTATCACTCACATCGCAAATATTCAGACAAGACTTTGAAGCATCCAGGCAAACTATGTATTTCTGACTTTATGCTTTTAAAACAGTTATGGGTTATGCAATTTTTAAGTTGATACTCACATCACTAGCAATTTCCTGAGCCTTCTTAGCAAGATGATAACCAGGCGTGATCATGGCAGGAAAACTTCCTTTACCTCGTTGCTGCTCATAATCTTCAGTGTAGGCAATCTGCAAGTAATACATTTTCTCAATTTGAACCATCTAAAATTTTGGGAGTATCTTTAACAGTGAAAATTTTATATTTTAGAACCAGAAAACAGAAAGATCTTGAAAGAATAAAAAAAACTATGAGAGTGTTAGGGCCATATCCAGAGAAATTTTAAAATAAACAAACAAAATCATGAGAATAAAGTCATAATATTAAGAGAATAAACTCACACAAGAAGTAAGTCATATTACAAAAAAGGTCATAGTATTACTAAAATAAAGTTGAAATAATATGAGGATAAAGTCATAATATTTCAAGTCTAAAGTCAGTTTTATGAGAATAAAGTCAGAATAATACCTGACTTTTACAAGAATGAGATCATAACATTATAAGAATAAAGTCATATTACAAAAATAAAGTTGAAATAATGAGAATAAAGTCATAATATTTTGAGACTAAAGTCTAAATATAAAGTTGGATACTTAATTTTTGTAATACTATGACTTTATTCTTTAATCCATTATCATGACTTGCTTAGATCCTTTCAAATATTGCAAACAAACATTTTTAAATGGCTTACATTTTCTATATGTTTGATGTTTTTATATGAATTTCAAGTGAATTGGTGAATCAGAATGAGTAATATTCACACCTGGCTGAAGTTTTCTGCATTTTCTCTTGCGTGAACCAACTCAACGGCTGCAGCCTCTGAGCTTGCCTTGCCCTTTATCTCTTGCTCGTACATCTGTCGGTACTTAATCTGTAGCAATGTGATATATTTGGTTAATGATCAACATTCTGTCGTTTATTCACACTGCAGACTGAAGTGACCCAATTCCGATTTTCTACCCTTCCGATTTTCTAATGTAACCTGTATCCAATCTTTTTATGACAGTTCGCTTTTTTTCGAATGCGAATGTGAACTTCGATGTCCGATATTCGATATTTCATCTTTTCAAACCTGACCTGAATCCTAACGTCCAAGACCCGAACTTCACTAATACTCGACAAATGTCACTATTCTGCGTCCCGATACACTCGAGCGGGAATAGAAACAACAACCATGGCGAACGATAACGAGGATTTAGTTGTTAATACGGAATGCTGGCTCCACCATAACTTTAAAACCTTAAGCTATGCTCTACTGTTAAATTATTGCGCCCTCTACTGTGCATGCGGGGCACTTTCAGGTCGTTTGCAGTTCACACTGGATATCACATACAAGTTGGAAGTGAACAACCGCGCCAAAAAAATCTGATTTGATAAAAAATTGGAATTGGATCACTCTAGGCTGCTGTGTGAACATAGTTTTAGTTGTCTTTGTTTTGCCACTTACATCACTGGCCTGCTCAGTTGCTCTCTTTGAAACCTTGTACCCAGGAGTAAGATGCGCGGGGAAACTACCTTTTCCCCTCTGCTGCTCGTATTCTTCTGTGTATGCATACTGCATGGAAATGCAAAAATGTTTTGGTTTTATTTGACTGATCTGACTGACTGTAAAATAGCTACAGCGCTAATAAACAGTCAATTAGCATCTTACATCGCTAACAATCTGTGCCTGTTTTTTTGCCAGCAGCACCTCTGGAGGATCAACAAATGTTGTGTACTTTGAGACTCTTTCTTCATGTCCCTTTTTATATTCCACCTAGAAGGCAAAGAGAAGCATCAGATTATTTTACCATGTTGAATTTCTGTTCTGTTCTACAAAAATAGATCATTTTAACTTACATTACTGGCCAAAGAATTGGCATTTTTTACAGCTTGGTAACCCGGTGTTATCATTGCAGGGAAGCTGCCTTTTCCTTTAGATTCTTCATATTCTTCTTTATATTTTACCTAAAATAAGAACACAAAATTAAGCGCTGTTAAATAAACAGTGTCATGTTTATTTAAAGGTAAATAATTGTAAAGACTTACATCACTGATGGTTTTCTGTGCCTGGGACATTGTCACTATCTCCTGGTTGGTCACCATCCCTGAATACCAGGCCTGTTGCTGCTGTGAGAATTCAGACTGAGACTGGAAAGTCTGTTTAAAATATCAAAAATTTCAGCACCTTATTAAATGAGAATGCAATGAAACTGATCAACCATACCTGGTCCCCTCAATTTTATATAAGAAAAGCTATTTTTTGTGTTATCTACTAAATGTAGATAAATGTTATTTACTATAACATTTATAGAATATTTTCACCACTAGCATTTTCGCCACATAGTTTAGTTTATGGAAAAGATCCCAAGACTTCAACTTTGGCAACCACTTTATTACATTAGGTCAAAAACCTTTAACATATATGATAAACTTTGGGTTTTTTTCCCAGCTTTTTATCTTTAAAGAAATGTTTTCCAAATCCAGAAACTTAATTTTCTGCTTAGTTTTATTCAAGTGGGCCAGATACTTATTTTTAAACCATTTAAGCCATACATGTGAATGTGTATATAGGATTCAACATAGAAACAAAAGCCTAGAATGTGGACAATGAATGTCAGTCAGCTTAAAAGACTATGTCCCCTAGGGGACAACATTTATTTTTTTACATTTTATTGGCACAACATTCAGGATAAAGTGGAGAAAACCCAACAACCTTCACCTTTTCAACATTTCTTATGAGCAAAGACATAGAATAACATAGAATAACTGTGCACCATGACTTAAAAACAATAATTTTAAGTTTCATTTACATAAATAATCATCCAAATTGTTTTTAGAAGTCCCGTTAGCTTGGATGTATGGGCCAGTTGCTCTCTGATGAGCTCACCTGGCTGACCACCTGACTGGCTAGGCGAGCCTTCTCCAGCTCCATGGATCTCGTGTGACTGTGGAAGCCGGACATAAAGCGATCGCCATCTTCGCGATACTTAAGCTACAAGTGGCACACGAACGACAAGCATTAAGCCAAGGCAAGCAAACATTTATAAGACAAGACAAAGCATTCCTTTCAATAGCTGAAGCTTCTAGACAACAGTAATATTAGCAGGATGATAATTGTGGGGACCACTGGTAAGAAAGTCTACCACATAAAAAACCAATATAAATGCATTAGTTTGTCTTTACAACATGAAAAAATGTAAAAGTTTAATTGGGTCAGTTTATCTTTTGGAAAAGACAAAATGTGACATTATAAATTTTTAGACATCCTTGCCAGTGGTGCCTCTATTATAATGTCAAGAGAACCTGAGCTCATGATAAAAATATAGCAGAAGTGTGCTATTATTAATAGCTGCCATGTTTTCCAATCAAGATGAAAGAGGAGCTTCCATGAAAGATCCAGAATAAAACCCTTATCCTGCCGTGTTTGATATTTATCCTTTAGCAGTAAACATGTCCTAAACTAATATTAGAACTGCAGTACTGCAAAGGATAAGAGAGTCGACTGCTTTCCAGCATCACTTTGTAAGGGAAATGCTAATGCTAATGCTAATAAAGTCTATTTCACTCTATGTGTATTTTGTTACATCTATTTAAAGAGGAAAATAGACATATTCACTTTATTCAGAATAGATAAAGGGTGAATTAGCATAGTCTGATGTCAGCTCGGATATATGTAGATGGATGTATGTGTCTTTATAAATATCAACATTTTAAGTCCCATATCTCTCTGCTAGCTTATAGCAACAGCTAAGAAGGTTGCATGCCCACTGCAAATATAAACATGAGAGGTCTGCTTAGACACAGATAGACTCAGACAGACAGAAACAGGTGGCCTTATAGAGGAAAGGCAGAGATGAGAGGCTGTTTTTCCTCATGCATATTTTTAGCCACCTACAGCATAAAGTGGCTCAAGCTGAGTGAAGGGTAGTCTCGCCTCTGTCAGAGATACAAAAATAACAGTAAGCACGCTTTTCATTTCAAATCCCTGCTGTGACCTAGAACACCACCGTTATCTTTTCCATCGTTTTTTGATCATACAGTAAGGGATATACAATTTTGAGATCAGGTTGCTAGTTTTTTTATGTTATATTTTTAATTTAGGAGAATCTTGAAACATATGTGATTTTGATATTTTTTAAAATACAATATATTTTGTTTTGACACTTAATTATCAGGGGAAAAAATGCACAGTCTGTTTTGATTAAATTCTTATGTAAAGACAGCTTTACATATATAAGAAGGTCAAAGAAGAGGATTAGGACAACTAAAAATATAGAATTCTGACCATTTTCCTCAGAATTCAGATTTTTTTTCCCCCCTCAGAATTCTGGCTTTAATTTCAGATTTTTCACTCAGAATTTAGATTTTTTTCTATCAAAATTTGACCATTTAAAAATCAGAATTCTGACTTTAATCTTCTAAGATCGAGTCAGAATTTTAAAATTTAAATTTTAAAATTTTCTCAGCTTGAAGTCCTGAGAAAAAAAGTCTAAATAATTTTTTTTCTTATAATCCGTAGAGGCCCTAATCCTCTTCCACATAAAATGAACCTTTTCATGAATAATCCTATCAAATATCTTGCTTGTAGCATTGTATGAAGGCTTATGTCACTTGTCAACAATAGATACTGAGACAGAAGAAGGTCAGAGCTTCATGAATTGAATATGTGCCGCACAATGATGTCATCGCATACCTCACTGGTCGCCTTGCTTTGCTTCTTTGCGTTGATGTTGATGGGAGTTTCATAAACACTTGTGAATGTGTTGTTTCTTGGATTGTGCCTGGAAAGCAGGAGATGTAAAGTGGTGCAGAGGGGAAAAAATACAAGTCAGATCCAATTTCTTTTCCTGACATGTTAAAACTTTAAACTGCTTTAAGAAACATAATCATATTTTTACAAAATAGATTCATTTCTTGATTTGAGTGGAGTAGCACTTACACAGAGCAATATGGCCTCTTCTTGTGACTGACAAAGTTATTAGGGGTGAGAACCATTTTGCAGACATCGCAATGAAAACACGCTTTGTGCCAGTTCTGACAACAGAAGAAACAAATCACATTATTTTATCAATTCAGCATAGAAATTGGTTTAAAACAGATGCATAATCTAAAAGATGGTCAAAATCAGAGAACACCTATTATCAGTTTTGGTATTTTAATGTAAACATAGTCTGGATTTTACAAAATTCTGAAACTATGTGAATCCAACAACATGCTATGAATTTCAGTTGATCAAAATTTTTTAAAATATATTTGTGAAAAATTAAGTGCAACCCACAAAAACATAAATACAAAAAACCCAAAAACGAAACATGTAACAATTCAAATTATTGCAAATATATATTTTTGTCTTGCAGTTAGAAAAAGCAGGCTAAAGCAAAATGTACCTCCATTTTGTTTTCTTGCTAAATACTATTCCAACAGTATTTTATGTTAGAGATATGTTTGTAAGAACAAAAAAATACAGCTATAGCTGTAAAAAAAAATTTTAATTGAAAAAAGGCCTGCACTTAAAAAGTAAGTCAGTAAACCTGACATGTTAATTGTTTAGTGAAGAGCATAACTGTCACTGGTTTTTGCTAGCTACGTAGCAGCTAAAACGCTAATTCTAACTTTAGTAATTAAACTTAACAAAGACTATTAATATCAAATTTAAAAAAGGACAAAAATAATTAAATGAAATAAAGTTGAAAAAAGTTAATCATTTATTGCTTGCTTGTATTTTTTTTCTTTTCTTTCTTGCATCAGTGTTGAGTAGAGCTAGCACTAGCTTCCATTTGACATTTAAAAGAGTTTAACAGTCTTCGAATAAAATTAATTTTTTACATCCTCTAATATTAAAAATAAAATAAAATATCCCAAACAAATCACTAACATTATCATAGTATACTTTTCACATTACTGTTTCACTTTTATCAGGCTCTTGTCCAGTTCAAAATGGCGGGCGGAGGAACGGTAGGCCTCCTAGTTTCTTAGATAATTCAACAAAGGGGGTCATAATTTTTGAACAAAAGTACCCAAATCCAGAATTTGAGATGTTGAAATAACCTTTTTGTAAATTTAGGTGGAAAATCATTTAAATGTCACAGGATCACTTAGCAAAGAAAATAAGAAGACATTGTTTTTGCAAGGAATTTTTGTGTTTTTATTTCAAGCTAACAGGCAGGTGCTACATTCGACATCAAGCCCTATTTGGCAACCAGTGCAAAATTTCTGGTTCAATTTGAAGAGCTCATAGCTCATCAATAATAATAATTAAAAAAAATAAAAAAATAACTCATACGTTTTAGTAAAATGTGCATTACCTGGTCAATGCAGTTGATCTTTTCTGCTGGGTAGACCACAAACCCGCACCTGGCACACGACTGCATGGTGAGCTATAAGTCCTTTCTCCCTCAAAAATAAAAATATCCTCAGGTAAAACTGTGAATGTTGCTTTCAAGCAGCAATGCGATTGTCAGACAGACACCAGTAAAGGTTAGAGCCAGAAAGGGACTCGTGTGTCTTTGCTGGTGGTAAACTTAGCTTTGAGACTGTGCAGCTCTGAGAGGGTCTCTTACCTAAAACCATGTCCCATGAATGGATCAGCCCCTTTTCTGTGCCCCCGATGCTCTGGGACTGCATGAGTACAGCTGTCTATTAGTGGAGACAGACTCACAAAGTATCCACATGTCTCTGCATTTGAGTAATGATCTCAGATAGAATGGCATCCTATGATAACCTCTGCATCACATACACTTAATTCACTTATGTAATTTTTTTTCTTCTAGCTAAGCTAACAATGTTTAGGAAGGAAAATAAATAACCTTTAGTTTGTCAAATCTAGTTGTATAGAAAGACTTGAGCAAAACTCTTTTAATAAAAATCTAATATTGATAATTCTATTTGGGAAATTTTATATCCAAAAATGTAAGTGGACCTGACACAAAACCCAAATACTTCACCTCACGAATTGTTAACATACCTTATTTAATTAATTCTTGATTATTTCATTTTTTTATTCTCAATTACTTTATTACTTCTCTGACAATGTACTTGTTCAAAAATAAATAAGATTTTATTTTATTTCATACCTTAAATAGTTTTACAATTAGCAAGTCATTTGCGACGTAGCAAAAGACTACAACTACTACTACTACTACTTTTTTCTTTTTGTAAATCTACTCTTATATGTCATCGTCAAATTCCTAAATGTAATCTTTGCCAATGTTGAGTAAATAAATTTATAAAAAAAATTAGATACAATAACATTTAGATATATATATTTGGTTATTTAAATTCATATTTGTTCGAATTCAAACTCGAATTTGAACAACCCAAGGAAAAAAACCCTGAAAGAACGTAGTGACGTATGGTGCTGACGTAACCACGCACAAGCGAGACCTACTTTCACTTTCTCAAGTTGAAGGAACAGAAAGTTCGTGGAAACTTTTGAGGAAAAGGAAAGTTGACCCACAAGCTACTTCTTTTTTTTACTCCAAATAGGCTGTTACTGACCAGCCCACGGATTACTTGAGCGTAAGTTATCTCTGACATTTTAATATTTTAAAAGTTAGAAATGTTCAGATTTTTTACATATTGTGTTAGCTTCAAGAAGCTAACACAATATGTCAAACAAACCGTGTAAACTGGTAGCTAAAAACCTATAAATTCACAATTTATTGATGAATAAATTGTGAATCTTTTCACAACTCATTGTGAATAATAAATTTAAGTCACTGTTATTTCTCTGTCGCCGTGCTGAGTCTTGCTGTAAAACACATAATGAAGCAAACTCGGGTTGACGTTTCTAACCGCTAGCTTGTTTTTTGTTTTGTTTTTTTTACTTTATTTACGTGTCTTAAACTTAGATGTCTGGAGAACCAACAGAGCTTAGTAAATGCGGTGGCGATCCTGACGCAGAGGAGATGGAGGACGACGTCGACGCCAAACCTGACCGCACTGCGAGATTTCGTCTGTTCCGGTGACTTTTCTTTGGAAATGCATGCATCATCTGAACCAAAGTTATAGTTTGTGATTTTTAAAACTCTGTATATGCTCTACCACTAATGTGGCAGGCAAATATTTTAGATTTCCTTAAAAACACACACGCGCACACTCACATTTGTAGTAAAGCAAAATGTTCTTCCATTTTCTCTTAATCTAATTCCCACATCTCATTTTTAGTAGTATCCTGTCAAACCAGTTCCTCCTCCCTTAGAAAAAATTATATCCAACATGTTCCTGGTAATTTTGTCAGAATGAATAATTAAATAATTTTCCTCTTCTTCCTTTTAAAAAAAAGTTCATTTCCCATTTTATGAACCAACTTGTCCCAGGTAATAGTGTTCATTTGCTACAGTGAATTACCAAAAAATTATCATCAAAAACCTTTATTGCTGGATTAAAAACCCAATTATTAGCAGTAATTTACTTTTTTGTTATTAAATAAAAACAAATAAAAATGTTTGGCAGATGTGATCCAAACAATTTTAGTTTGATGGAATGTAAGAAGCAAATTAGAAAATTAGGCATTGAGATACAATCTGAAGTTGGTTTGTTCCAGTTTTACTCACAAGGTGGTGCTCTGAATCTGTCCTATAGAGAAACACATTACTGACAATAGTAATGAAACCACATAACCATGTTATTTAATTAAGTTTGGATTTTGACACAAGATGTTTGAATTACCAAAAGATTATTTCTTTTATAAAATTGTCAAACAAACAGGACCCGAGATTTTAGATTATAAATACAAAATGTTTTTTTTTTTTTTTTACATAAATCATATCAAACTAAATATACTGTCTTCTTTATTATTATATTATTATTATTACTATTGATAAATGACATATATAAGGCAAAATAAAAGTAATATAAAATAGGATTGTCCAAAACAAAAACATTTAAACAAATAATATAAAGTAATACACTTTCTGAAATTAACTTTAAGTTCAAGAATATTATAAGTTTATTCTTGATATTGATGTTTCCTCCATTATATCATTGACTATATCTAGCTCATGAAATCCAGTCTTAGGTATATAGTAGCATATTTTTAAATGTTAATGAACTAGAAAGTATAAAATTAATACAATTAGACCAGAAGTGTTGAACTCATTTTCGTTTTGGCCAAATATAAATTATGAATGCTCTTAAAGGGCCAGAATGTATTGATAAATCCCGATCACAAACTGTTAAAATATTAATGAATATTTAAAATGTAATAATATTATTGAACATCTTTTCAGTTCCTCCAAGATTTTGCGATATTTCTTGATTTTTATCTAATAAACATCAAAGTGTTTGTGGTACTAAGTTGTAAATATTTGCACTTCAATATGACAGAAAATGTGACTTTTTATTATTTGCTGTATAGATGATAGACTATAATCTGATATCAATTAAAGTTTGAGAAAAATCTGCAATACACTCCCAAATATTAGCACAAAATTGAGGGGATTTGTTGATTTTGCCTGAATTTTTACGAGAATTCTCAAGAAACTGGAGGCATTGGTTGATATAATTTGGCAGTAAACGAATAAAAACTGCATTGATTTAATTGAAAACATGATATTTAAACAGACTTAGTGTTTAGTCTAGAATCTAGAGGGCCTCATTAAAAGCTATGGTGGGCCGGATTTGGCCCATGGACCACAAGTTTGACACATGTGATTTAGGGTGTCTTATGCTGCGTAAATGACTCTTTATGAGCGATATTGTTATGACAGGTTTAATCCTTTTGTTGATATTTTCTCTCAACTGTGTAATCTTCAGTTTTCTCATGGCTACTCCTCTTAGATTTATTGAAAGTCAAACTGTACACCAGGTACTGTATGGGAGGACCTTTTGTCTGTCTGCAGCTGAGGACATTGATGACCTGTCTGACCTCAGTAGGGAGTGAGGCTCAGGGCCAGAGCATGAATAGGCCTTTAGAAAGCGCTGGTGCGATGGGGAGGCTGCTGACTCAGGGGGCTCACAGCGCGCTGCCCCAGTCCTCAGCCGCCCGTGGACCCAGTCTGGACTCCAAACTCTACAGAGAGCATGTTAGCTTCCTAGCACACACCAAAAGAAAAAAAAAAACCTTGAGCTTCCGGGTGTGGAGAAACGAAACAGAATCAAGGCGTTTCAGATGCAGAGCGGAGTGGCGCTTAATGACGAACCCAGGTAAGACGGATTTCTCATGGCTTCCGCAGTGGGACAGCGATCCAGCTCTTTGCCCACCCTCATGCTATTGTTTGGCACCGCATGTTGGCACTTTGGAGGTGGGCGGGGGGCTTCAAATGTTCTAGATCACGTTTATTTGAAAATGGCTGTACTGAGTGCACAAGAGGCACTCACAGGTGTACAGTATTGTTCTAGTGCTTGAGCGACCCGATGACTCTGCTCTTCTAGATGGTTTGGCTTCCCAATGGGGCCACTGTTGGCTCGGCTGTCTAGATGGATCTTTGACAGAATGAAAATATCATTGGACTGTGAGAATTACCTCGGCTGGATCATTTCCTCCTGCTCACTCTGCATAGATGATCTTTGCAAAAATGTTCTAGTTTCTTATTCAGCCCAACTGTGGATTACTGCGACCAAATTTGGCCTTAACGTTTATGCCTTATTTGAAAACGTATGTATGTGTGTGTTGGGTATTTTCTAGTCAGTGGTTCAGGTTGTCTACGCTGTCATGCATGCAAGCTGGTTTGGACATCTCAGGTGTTAGTTGAGAAAATTTTTGACCTAAAAATGTTCAATGACCCAGAGATATTTTCTAGATTTGCAAGATATTACATAATATGGTAAGAATTGAAGCTGCAGAAATTTAAATTTAAACTTTCTACATTGTTTGCTTTTGTTGTAGCCTTTATTATAGGTTAAATTAATCCTCTACATGTAATTTTTCTTTCTGTTAGCAAAAAAAATAAGGATGGCCAGACGAGGGAGCAGGACCACTCTTCTGAAAGCCATTCCAGAATTGTTTTTCCAACATTCCAGTATAAGATGAGCTACAGGCGAGTGGGGAAGTGTATCATCATCAATAACAAAAACTTTGATGAAAACACAGGTATGGCACATACCTTTTTATAGTACGGTTTCCAGAATACCTCACACTCTAGTTTTCTAGTAGTTAATGTTTGGTTGGTAACGTTTTGTTACAAACAGGGATGAATGTTCGCAATGGGACGGACCGGGACGCAGGTGAGCTGTTTAAGTGCTTCAGGAGCCTGGGCTTTGAAGTCGCTGTTCATAACGACCAGACATGTGAGAAGATGGAGCAACTTCTCACACAAGGTAAGCAGCTCCTCTCCATCTCCTTTTAATGCCAAACGTTCATACTTTATTCATTTTATTTCTTGGATGACTTTTTTTTTGTCTGTTTTAGATAGAAAAATTTATGTTTAATTCTCTTGAAGTCAGTTGTTCCTATATGAAGCGTCAATAACAGTTGTGTTACACAGAGTTTGTATGAGTGCTTTCAGTTCTTGAAAATGCTTGAATTTCAGTTGGGAGTTTTCAAGGTTTGGAAATGCTCGATTTCTGCAAAATGTCCTGAGAAGTGCTTGATGTTCAAACAGTGCACTTTTGTAATGAAGTGCAATCTAGCATTTGATTAAAAGCCTAAATTTAGAAGAGATTATTTACAGTTGAAACTAGATATTTAAAGATAATAAAAATACTTTTTGTCCGCACTGTATGAAAATCCAAACTTCTCTTGTTTTAAGTCAGTTGGAATTCCCTAAATTATTTCTATTTGATAAAGTCCAGATAACTTAGTAATAATTTTTTTAGAGACTTTACTAAATTTTCTTTCTTGGAGTAAGAGAGACATTTCAAAACACAAACTTTTATGTTTTAGTTTAACTTGTCCCTAATGTAGAATGTTGAATACCATCACAAGATTGAAACTGCCTTCTTTACTTTGTTTTTATTTTATCTCCAAAATATATGGTGATAAAGAAGTTGGTAAAGTTACCCTGAAAGTCCTTGAAAAGTGTTTGAATTTTATTTTGTGAAAAGTGTATAAAGTCTTGAGATATTATTTACAGTGCAAAGTTGAAGTTTATAGTGGAAGATAATAAAAACAGACATTTCTTCAGTCTCTGAAGTTAAATCTGAACAAATTTTTTTGTAACTTTCTCAGACCAGTCAGATATGAAGAGTGTGTATAAGTGAGATATTTCAAAAACATAAAATTTTGTTACATTTTTGTTTATATCCAGTTTTGTCCTGAAAATGCAAAAACTTACCTAGAAAGGTGCTTGAATTTTACTGTGGAAAAAGTTCCTGAATCCTGGTTATAATGTTAAAGTTTACAGTTGAAGATAAAAACAGACCTTTTTTTCACTGTCTGAAGTGAAATTGGACTAAATTTATATTGTTTTATGCAGGTTACAATTGTATAATTATTCCTATTTGCTAAATACGACATAGGTTAGCGAGAAAAGGCTTTAGATTTTTTTTTTTTGCAACTTTCTCTCACCACTCAGATGTAAAAGAGACATTTCAAAACATCAAATTTTGCTACATTGTAATTGAGATGTTAAATGTTTGTAGACTTAATGTGAAACTCTGGTTATGTAGATTTTAGATTTATTTAGTGTAGATTACTAGAGAGGCCTGTGAAATTTGCTGTTTACTGGAATTAGATGAGCTAACGTTTCATTTTTTTGGTGTATTTTGTCGGTCAGCCTCAGAGGAAGACCACAGCGACAGCTCGTGTTTCGCTTGTATTTTGCTGAGTCATGGTGAAGAAGGCATGATCTACGGCACAGATGCAGCCATGCCCATCAAGACCATCACCTCGCTGTTCAGGGGGGACAGGTGCAAAAGCTTAGTCGGGAAGCCAAAACTCTTCTTCATCCAGGTACTTCCGGTTCGTACAGGTGCTTTAAATCCTTGGAAATGGTTAAATTTCCAAAAAGTGTTTGGAAAGTGCTTGATACTCAAACTGCAGTTTAGAAAGAAAGTTGTAATAAACGTTTAAGAGAAAAAACTCCTTCCTCAAAATCATATAATTAAGCATTGACGTTACATTAATACAGACTGATATGTTTAATGTAAGGAATACTTATTATTACTAATCAACCAGTTATTGAAATAAAGGGTGTCCATGCATCCTTAAGAAGTCTTGAAACATCTTAAGTTCATGCATCTAAAATTAAGGCCTTAAATTGTCTTAAATCTACAGGAAAAAGTTGGTCTTAAATAGGCCTTAAATTTTGTTGTGGATGGATTATTTAATCTCATTCATTCTGCATAGTTTCTCACAGGTTGTGGCTATTGCTAACTAGCTGCTAATATACTCTTGCTAAGTGGCTAGCTGCCGTTTTTTACATCTATCATGGGTAATTGAAAATTTATTGCCAGTTTACTGGACGATGTTTGTATTAACCACTGGCTCACTTCTGTTGCAAATCCACACAATTTATTTATTTTTCTACATTTCTGAAGTGATAAAGGTCTTAAAATCCATTACTACAGGCCTTAAAAAGTCTTAAATTTGAGTTGGTGAAACCTCCATAAACTCTGCTATATTTTAAATGTTAAAGTTATTAAAATTAGGGGTTTTTGGAGTTAAATTTGTGTTTTGTTCTGAGATTAATGAGGTTATCACTAATATTAATAAATTATCCCTTATAATAGTGAATCAAATAATGTGATCTCTGGTTAATTAGTTCTAGTTTTATTTCCAAAGTGTGGTGCTCGTTAAGGTTTGTTAATTTACCTAAAAAAATGTGTGAAAAGTCCTTCAATTATCCTTCAAATGTATGTATTTTTGTACTTTTAAAGGCTTGTCGAGGTTCTGAATTTGATGAAGGTATCCAGACAGATTCAGGTCCACCAAACGACACCATGGAGACCGATGCTAATCCAAGACATAAAATCCCTGTTGAGGCAGATTTTCTGTTTGCATACTCCACTGTGCCAGGTAAGCCATGTTTTGAGTGTCAAATCACTTAATAAATACATGTTAAAGTAAAATTTTTGGGTACTCTGCCCACCTTTTCAGCCATATTGTCCGGTGAAACTCTTCGGCATGTTAACTGTTTTCTAGGATATTACTCCTGGAGGAACCCGGGGCGCGGATCCTGGTTCGTCCAGGCACTCTGTAACGTCCTCAGCGAGTTCGGCAAGCAGCTGGAGATAATGCAGATCCTAACACGGGTCAACTACATGGTGGCCACCAGTTTCGAGTCCTGGTCGGAGGACCCGCGTTTCAGTGAGAAGAAACAGATTCCCTGTGTGGTCTCCATGCTGACCAAAGAACTTTACTTCAACTGATATCCTGCCTGTACTGTAAGACAGAGACTCACAGACTGACCAGACCGACTCGACCGGCTGTTTCAGGCGATGAGCAAGCAGTCGAAGCATTCAGGGATGATTCAGGCCCGACAGGAACCAGCGCTTTTAGAGCATGCCACTTTGTCTACGTGTCAAGTTGGGCCTGACGACAAGCACTGTGAAATCAAAAATAACACACTGAGTTCATGTGTTTACAGTAAAACCTCCTCTTCAGGCTCCCCCTTGAATTACTAGTCACATTTAAGCCGATTGTTGTCAACAGACATTGTAAATTATATATGTATTATCTACCGACCCATAAAATTAGCTGCCAGTTTTTATGGGACGGTGGAATCATATCTGAATATGTTTGTCCATTTTACAGAACGTATTTGTACAGACAAATAAATTTTTTAGCTAATTAGCCCACCTAAAGAATTACAAAAACAACTACTCTTGTGGATCTGTTTGTAGCTAACATTAGCATTAGCATGCAGTCACAAAAAGACATTTAAATACGCTTCACTAAAACATGCAAAGCATTAGTGTTTCACACATATAGTTTAAGGCTTTTATGACTAGTTAAAGCATTAATTACTCAATTAACGGTGTACATTAAGATGGATACATTCAGAACGTCGTATAAGTTAATGTTGAATGTTTCAGCTGCTCTCTAATGAGCTCTTATATACAGCAGTATTTTTCAACAGGTCATGTTTTACAGCATCATTACAATGTGTGAAAAACACTTTGACTCTTAAAAAGCTGCAGTATGTAACTTTTATTAAAAAATATATAGTTTTTACATATTTTGTGAAATTATAATTATGTTGTCACTGTAAAATTTGAGACAATCTAGTTCCTCTACTTTCTTCCAGTGCTTCCAGTACCAGCTGCAGAAATATACCACTCAGTCAGAAACAACCAATCAGAGCCAGAAGGAGGGTTTTAGCGCTGTCAATCATTCATGTCCCTTTCTCTCCCAGCTATGGCTGGTTCACCACAACACAGCTTGCCAGGAATGCTAACGCTAGTGCTCATAGCCACCAATGATGGTGGACAAGCATTTTTTTTCTGTGACTAAATTGTTTCTCTGCCATTAGTCCATTTAGCAGCAAGTATATGAGATTGATTGACAGCGTTAAGACTTTTCTTCTGGGTCTGATCTGTTGCTTTGACTGCAGTTGTATGATTGTTTTTTTAATAAATATGGAAAAAACATTTTTGCAAGGTACATACTGCGGCTTTAAGGGAAACACATACCTGACAAAGTAATGTTTACAGCCTGAATAATTTCTGCACATAATTTTATGTAGGTAAAAAATTGCAGTTTGTATTTGCTAAAGCGAATGTCAAGTTTGAACAGATCCCAGGAGATTGTCCAGAAACGCCACCCAGCAAAAATAATCCTAAACTAACTTTGACAAAAGTTAGTTTAGGATTCTAGATCTGAAAAATGGAGCAGATTATTTTCAGATGTGAATGTTTTGAAAGTTTCAGCTGTCAGATTTAGTAGCAGTCAATTAAAAAAAAAGCTTAAACTCCTCCGAAGTTGTCACAACGCTCAACAACTACAAGTTGGTAGCAACATGCTAGCATCCTCAGGTTCCTCACTGTCCCATCAGATGTCATGTTTAATCTCTTACCTACATGTGGTGGATTAGGAGGTGTGATATTTTGCTGTGTAGTGATTTTGTTCTAACTTTGAATCAAGCATGAAGCACAAACAGTTTCAAACCCAAATAAGTGAGATTTGTGTAATTAATTATCATTAACCTGATCGTTTATTTATTCAAAAGGGTCCAAAAAATCAGTTTGGGGATTTTCTATTCTTTTTTATCATTATTTTTATGGAATTACATCTAATTCTATTAAATTAAATATCATTTATTTTATTTATTATGAAATAATAGAATAATTTTGTTTTGGCAGTTTTCAGAACGAAAATGTCAATTCAGAACGACTAAGCGCTTGAACCGGACTGAGACCTGGAGGACACTTCACATCATTTTACTGTATATGAGTGTTGTACACCGTCTTCACTTACACTGTTTTGTAGTTTACAGATATTTTTAGCAAAAACAAACACTTCAAACAAAAAATCTTTGAAGCATTTGTACACTTTGAGTGTTTAAAATAAGCATCAAGAATTGATTGTTATTGGTAAAATAAATATTTCGATACATAAACATGACATTTGTTGGTTGTTAAAGTCACAGACGCAGCTATTTCTGGCTAATAACTAACCTATATTTACACAATCCACTATTCTACAATATGTACTCTTATTTTTTGCTTTATTATTACTCTTTGTGGTTGCATGTATTGGTAAAAATGATGGTGGAAGGAAATCATATGTGCTTTTATTATTCTGCTTTTCTCTTTTCCTCTGTATTTGTATTTATTTTGATATCATTAGCATAAATGCTACATGTGTGCAATCAGTGCAGTTCTTTGACCTCTGATCAGTCATTTGGTGTCAGGACTGAGCTGGAGCGAATGCTTGTTCCCCTTGTTTTGAAATGAAAACTTAAAAAAAACAACAAAAAAAACAACTTCAATAAGATGTTTGTTTAAATGCTTTCCAGTTTTTAAATGCTGTGTTCCTCAGGAATATATTTGAAAAGATTTGAATTTAAACGCATGATTTGGTCAAGTTGTTTTTGGACAATTCATTGTTTAAATAACTTGAAAACGGAGGAATGCTTCAGTAATTAAACATGAATTTATTGTGTAATGAACTTTGTGTCATTTTTTCATTACCATGATCACATTAAAGCAATCAAAAGAATCAATCAACTAGCAATCAAACATACTTTGCACATTAGTGATGAGACAAACATGTACAAAAATGTGTGTCTGTTAGATTCAGTCAGGTTTCACCTAAAGTCTTGTTTTTTTACGACTATGACAAACATAGTCATGAAAAAACAAGACATCCTGAACGTCCTTTGTTTTCTCAGTCAGATGACCTTTCTGTTTTGGTGAAATTATTTTTCAGTGACAGAGATGGAAAGAATTGACTCAGCAGGAGGTTATTCTTAAACTCATTCAGATTCTCAGAGATAAACTTTATTTAAAGGATACAATTTAGACAATAATCTTTAGAAATTAACTGAGATCAACACCGAAGAGCACAAAGATTGCAGACTGAAACTCAGTCATGACAATGGAGAATGAATCATCCTTGAAAATGAGGAAATGTTGCCTCTCCAGGAAGGAAACAGTAGCTCTGAGCAGTAAGGCAATCCAAATCCGAGGTACTTTCCTTTGTGTATTCCCTGCATGATGAAAAGAAAAGAAAAACTCTTTGGTGTGTCTGGAGTCCTTTGAGTCACTTTCTGGTAAATCCCCAAACACGTGCAAAGCCGATTCATATTTCATCTGTGGCTTTGGATGACAATATGTGTAAAGTATTTTAGACTTTACTGCAAAAGCAAAACATCTTCTGGTTGTGGGGATGCAGAGCAGAACCCGAAGCAGCATTCAGTGTCTATGCACCACAAATCTGGAAGAAACTTCCAGAATCCTGCAGCTGAAACACTGAGTGTCTTTAAATCAAGCCTTTTAGGGAACCTTTGATTGGTGATAACTGGAACATTCATCACCATAATCGATGTATTTTCACTGGGTGATTTTGATTATGGCATTTGACAAAATGATTGTTTCATAACTGATGACTGGATGATGTTTTCATGATGTCATGTTGCTGAAATGTTCTATACAAACAAACTTGATAAAACAAAATCAAGTTCATACTTGTGAAAAACCCGTTTTTTTCAATCTTATTGTTGTTGGCTCAGACGTCAAAAGTGTTACAGATGGAAGTCTTTATGACTCTACATCAAGAGTCTCAAGCTTTTTGCTTTCTCTAAAAAATAACTCAAATTGTATCAGATGTGATCGATCTGTGAACATCACCTTTCAATTCTTGTCTTATATTTCAAATGGGGTTTAGATCAGCACTTTGACTAGGCCATTCCAACACATTAAACTTTCCTGTTGACACTCTAGTTGTATGTTTAATATCATTGTCCTGCAGGAAGTCAAGTTTATTGGAAATAACTTTGACACTGCTGAAAGTAAGCATCGACTGTAAAACTTCAGAAGGTGGTTTAACCTGGACGTAAAACGTTCACCTGCTGCCCAGAAAAGGCAAAAAAATTGTTTTGGTTTTAACTCAGAAATTAAAGTTTGTACATGAAGTTGATTTAACAACAAGAGACAAGATGTCTAAGCATTGTTTTTTAAGTTCATTAATCTTAAATTGTGCGTTTTAACTTAATGAAGCAATTTAAACCAAATAATTATTTCACAAAGTGTATAATTATTTTAGTGCGGTAAGCTCGCGCTAAAATCTGGGGCTCTATTTCCCTGCCACATCCATCGCCTTCAACTTAAAAGCTGCTTCTTCGTGTTGTTTCCATGATGATGGGGTTTGAGTTTGAAAACGTTTCTCCATTGTGCCAACATGAAAATCAGTACTTTCTTCTTTGATTTCCAATTTTGATTCACTTCCTGCCAAAGAGCCCCCCCTGGTGGTTGGAGAAAAATCCACAGAAAAGCCGCACCAGGCTGCAAGCCGCACGGTTCAAAACATGGAAAGAAAAAGTTGCGGCTTGTAGTCTGAAAAATACGGTACATTCATTTGTGGTTGTAACTTGTAAAATATGAAACGTTCAAGGCTTAAACTAAATATAAATCCAGAGCAAACTGCAAACAGTGTCACGTGAGTAGCTGGAGTGTGCTTTGGTAATGAAGATTAATAGCAATGCAGATTGCTTCCCTGCTGTACGCCCTGGTGATTAATTTATTCGTTGTTTAATTTCCGGAACAAGTTGTTTAACAGCCCCTTCAAAAGCAGGACACATTAATGGAGCAGCAAACAAAATCCCCAAACTGCAACAATCTACTTTCATACACTTTATTTGATTAAAGTTGATGGGCTATTACGATCTGGAATAATTGCAAGGGCAATTTTCTTCCTTTTTAAAGTTTGAAATAAATAAAAGTGCATTTCGAAATTCATAACTCACTTAACCTTTGAGGGAGTGTACTGCAGCAGAGCAAGGATGCATGTTCCAGAATAAAACCTGATGGCTGAAGAGGAACTACAAGCCTGCACAATGCAACCTCCCCTGGTTTGGTTTTACTCAGAACGCAATGTTCAGACAATTAAACTGACAAAGACTGATGACTGCTGAGAAAATCTCTGTCTCTCATCAATAACCTGCACTGAATGCCTGATCAAAGGCAAACTTTTCACTCTGTGCTCTCTGCTTCTATTATTTTACATGTGTTAGCTATGAGCCTGCAAGCAAAAGTCTGACATCAGCGTTTGTTTTCTTCCTGACAGCTGAAAGCCATCAGTCAAACAGCAGTACAGTTTTACTGCTTTCCCCGCCTGCTTGGCTGCAAGTCTCTCCAGTCTGGAGGTGAAGGCATCTCTTTGTGTTTGCAGGTGATTTTCACTTTACACACCAAGGAGTCAAGCGGCAGAAACACACAGCCAGAGGAACCAAAGGCTGAGAGATTTGTAACAAACATTGCTGCAGAATCCACTTCACAACTCAGGAGGTTTTAAAGCAACAGATGAACCAATGTGTTGTATAATATAAATATAAATAAGGATAAAAACACACAAGCGATGAAACACCAGTAAAATAAGTAAAAATTAAGCCAGACAAAATGTATTTCCTCAAAAGAGGTTCTTGTTTTGTTCTGCCTCATCTGGAAGAGACTTAAAACCATTGTTCATAATCTGTAAGGTTTGTGACGGTGTGTTTAATGTAAGGCATGCAAGGAAGATTTAAAATCAGAGGTACTGCCTGGATAGAATAACCTCCGTTTTGTTTTCACCACTCAGAGGCTCAAAACATCCCGGTTTTGATGTTATGAAGGCATTCTTCTAGTGAAATGACTCCAAAGAGGAAACCAAATGAAGAATAAAAGGGAGAAAAAAAGGAGGGGACCAAGTATTGAACCTTGTGGCATTCCACGAAAAACAGACACAACAGTTGGATGTAAAATTATCTAATACAAAAACTTTCTTTTTGCTAGATAAGTTCACAACCAGTCCAAAATTAAACCTCTAAAGTCTTTTACAAGAGTGCTGAAATGTCCTATATAAATAAAATTTGATTGATTGATCATAGTGTCATTGAGTTTCAACAGGAATCAGTAAATAACATCTGAACCCTTAATAAAATTGATATCCCTACTCATTAATCATCAAATCTGATATTAATTATCTATTCGGGAGAAAGATGGACATTTGTTTTGATTTTTTTTAATGTGGCCCTCTGAGGGACTCTCGGGCCCTCAGAGGGCCTCTGAGGGACTCTCGGGCCCTGAGAGGCCCTCTGAGGGACTCTCGGGCCCTGAGAGGCCCTCTGAGAGACTCTCGGGCCCTGAGAGGCCCTCTGAGGGACTCTCGGGCCCTGAGAGGCCCTCTGAGGGACTCTCGGGCCCTGAGAGGCCCTCTGAGGGACTCTCGGGCCCTGAGAGGCCCTCTGAGGGACTCTCGGGCCCTGAGAGGCCCTCTGAGAAACTCTCGGGCCCTGAGAGGCCCTCTGAGGGACTCTCGGGCCCTGAGAGGCCCTCTGAGGGACTCTCGGGCCCTGAGAGGCCCTCTGAGGGACTCTCGGGCCCTGAGAGGCCCTCTGAGGGACTCTCGGGCCCTGAGAGGCCCTCTGAGGGACTCTCGGGCCCTGAGAGGCCCTCTGAGGGACTCTCGGGCCCTGACAGGCCCTCTGAGGGACTCTCAGGCCTGCAGGCGGAATCAGGGCCTGCAGGCGGAATCAGGGCCTCTCAGGCCCTCTGAGGGACTCTCAGGCCCTGAGAGGCCCTCTGAGGGACTCTCAGGCCCTGAGAGGCCCTCTGAGGGACTCAAACTCGGAAGACCGACTTTGAGGTACTTTTAGGAGTTCGAGCTGCTTGATGGTTGAGTGCTCGGTTGGCGCACTGCGTAAAGACATGCGTTGCGGTTTCCGATGGGCCTGAGTTCAAGACCTGCAGGCGGAATGGTCCGAAGCACCCTCTTTATCCAGAGTGACAGCTGGATTTCTAAAGTTAAACACGGAAGACCGACTTTGAGGTACTTTTAGGAGTTCGAGCGGCTTGATGGTTGTGCTCGGTTGGCGCACTGCGTAAAGACATGAGTTGCGGTTCTGATGGGTCTGAGTTCAAGACCTACAGGCGGAATGGTCCGAATCACCCTCTTTATCCAGAGTGACAGCTGGAGTTTTAAATTTAAACACGGAAGACCGACTTTGAGGTACTTTTAGGAGTTCGAGCGGCTTGATGGGTGAGTGCTCGGTTGGCGCACTGCGTAAAGACATGCGTTGCGGTTCCGATGGGTCCGAGTTCAAGACCCGGGTGAGGAACGGTCCGAAGCACCCTCTTTATCCAGAGTGATAGCTGGAGTTTTGAAGTTAAACACGGAAGATCGACTTTGAGGTACTTTTAGGAGTTCGAGCGGCTTGATGGGTGAGTGCTCGGTTGGTGCACTGCGTAAAGACATGCGTTGCGGTTCCGATGGGTCTGAGTTCAAGACCTGCAGGTGGAATGGTCCGAAGTACCCTCTTTATCCAGAGTAACAGCTGGAGTTTTAAAGTTAAACACGGAAGACCGACTTTGAGGTACTTTTAGGAGTTCGAGCAGTTTGAATGGTGCGTGCTCGGTTGGCGCACTGCGTAAAGACATGCGTTGCGGTTCCGATGGGTCTGAGTTCAAGACCTGC